TGATCAGCTGGTTTTGGTTGTCAGCAGCAAACTGGTTGATCCACTCTAAGAAGGTGCTATTTAAGAGACTGAGCTGAAAACAGCACCTCAGACTGAGGAAGTCTCTTGGATGAGAGACGAAACGTTTCTAGATTTCTTTTGCTTTGTTTTGCTTTTGTTTTTTTTGAATGTCCAGAGGACCAGATTGAACTTTTTTGGATTTTTCTACTTGGATTATTGAGCATGCATCAGGATATGACTAATATTGTTCTACAAGTCTTTGTGCTTTTCCTGAATAATAAATAAGAAACAGTATTTATTACATCTGCATGTCTGTTCCTTGGGACTTTCATGAGAAATTAGTCTGAAATCATGGAGGTATCCAAAACCAACACAGACCAGAGCGCCCCTCTCTCAGATTATTTTAGCAACACAATATTGCAACGTGCAGATGCACAACTACTTTATTAAATAATGTTGTGACTGGGAGATAGATGATGTTATAAACACTTTAGAGTAATTTTATAGGAGTTAAGTGTATGTTTTACAAATCTCATTTTGCCATCTCTATTCTCAAATTCAAAGGCCTAATTTAGATGAAGTGCTGACATTTAGTTTATATAATCAGAGGACGTTTCTGGTTGCATCTTTTAGCATCTAATTGTTTATTGTAAATGCATTTTCCCCATTTTATTTTGTTGTTTATTGAACAATCTTTGCTATTAGTTAATTGATCAATCATAACCCCAAATCTTAGTTAAATGGGTTTATAGCTTTTGACATAGTAAATATTAGAATTTGCTTTGACAGAAAAAATAATCAATGTTATAAACTAAAATTGCTATTCCTGTTGTGACTAAGCAAAGTGACCATTGTGTAAAAGATTTGTAAAAAATTAAAAGGTGGTTTGTTTTCTACTAAATTATTTTATTTATATTAGACTTTTGGTGTGCGTGTTCATAAGATAACTTTTTATAATTGCTTTATTTTTACATCTAAATTGGTAAGATCCATAATAACCTTCCCAGCTCTCAACAATGCCTTTTTTTTATCATTAAATATTCCTGCGGAGTTCTTTCTCACATAGCTTCTGCACAATCAACATGTGTTTATTTTTTTGTTTTGTTTTCAGGTTGCTTTGGTTGCCATTAATGTTCTGGGAGATTCTTTGGACAGCAGCATCTTAAACATGACAGTAGGTGACGTCTCTTCATGTCAATGGATTCTGAACTTACATTTGCACAGCAGGAGGTGGAGATGTTGAGCTTTTATAACCAACAGACTCCTCAGAACTCATTAATATGCCTTTATTTATCAGCTCAGATTAAATCCAGTATGACACTTCTGTGATGATAAAGTCACATTCTGGTGGTATTTTATTACTTAGCTTTTTTTTTGTTGTCATATGTGATTTAATATTAATAACTCTTTCATTAAGTGAAAATATGGCAATATTTAAATACTAAAAGTGGGTGGACAAAATTAAGATTTATACAATATAATGCTAATTAAATTTGTGATTTTGGGTGTTTTGTTCAATTATATATTCCACGTTCAGTATATACTGCATTCACATAGCTAAGTTAACTCTATAACGGTCTATATTTGCACGTGTGTTTACCAGAGCATTGGACGTGCATTCATACTGTATAAGATGTGTGTGTGTGTCAGGCATGTAGTAATGAGACACAAAGGGAGGGCAGTATGTAATCTAACAGGAGGAAGGCCTACAGTCAGTCAGTGTAACCAGATAGTCCTGCAGATGGACGGCTCTCGGAGGAAGGAGAGCAACTTAAAACACACACATGCACATACACACACTCACACGTAGAAATACATGCAAAGACATGGACACCCCCTCGCACAGATTCCAGTGAACAGGCTGTGCATTGTTGCTTTTTTTAATCCGACTGAGCACCTCCATCACAGCAAAGATCTTGCCTGGAGAGTCAGGTAGTGCTTGTTCTCCTGTTTCTGCTCTGTGGCTGGAAGTTATGTCGGTCTTGTAAAAAGAAACTGTGGCGTGAATATATGGAGAAAGGTTACGGTAATTATTTGGCGCAAACTAAAATCACCCCATATCTACCGCACCCATATCAGCAGGTACACTCTCTCTTTTAATGTCAACAGTCGCATAAAAAGTGTTTGTAAAAAATTCTTCAGAGCCTAATATTAAATAAAACCATTTCCTAGCATAGTTTTGTTCAGGAGAGCTTCTTTAGGTATGAAAAGATATTTATAAAAGAGGTGTCCAAACAACATGAACCAGTCTCTGGTGCTGAAATCTGTACATATTTCATATTAGGCAACAATCGACTAATTGTAGAAGTTATTTTGAGTATAAAAGAGGAAGAAGCTTAGGTTAAATTTTCATGAACTCTAAAACTCTTTCAACTCCTGACACACATGCATTGTATCTTTTCAAAACATTAAGATGAAAAAAAAAAGCAAATTTAAGTTCAACGTGTTTGTGCATATCATCTTTGTAAATATGCTGCCTTAGATCAAAAAGATCAAATTTTATTCTTAAATGATTCAAAAAAATATATAATATGATTTACAAACAGAACTTTTATGATTAACGTTAACAGAAAACAACCTGTCTTTGCACTCTGTACATACAGACACTTGATGCTTGAGGGAACATCTCTTGTTTTTACACAGCATTAGTCTGTTTCTGGTTTATCGTAGAGTTTTCTAGAGTTATGTTTTTTTTCTTAAAAATGAAGCCACTAGACTAAGTTTAGCCCTCATTATCCTCACTTTACACTTCTGTTTGTATAAACCAGGGGTTCTCAAGCTTTTTGGGTTCAGGGGCCCCTTACAGGGGAGAAAAAGTTTCAGGACCCCCCCTCATAACCCTCATGTTTATTAAATAATTTTCTTAAATTTGTCTCTTTAATGCACTGGAAATATTTGTGTAATATAAATAATTAAGACCTGTTCTTAAATAGTGTTAATACAATTTTTATACTTTTAAACATGAGGTATTTTTCATTCAAGTCACACTTAATTAACACAATTTTTAATTTCAACTTCCAAAAATGACAGTTTTAAGAAAATTAACTATCAAAAACCACTTTAAAACTTTACCTATTCACATAATGAACATGAATGTATCGTCACTTCTTCAAACTAATACAGAAAACTCTTTACATAAACCTGAACAGAATCATAACGGCAGTAGTCAAACCAAGTAACAGGGATTAATTTGTAAACTGGTCAATGCTGGAACGCAAATGGCGGGTGGGCCGGGGGGTGGGGTCTGGAGGTCCTTCCCCAGAAAATTTTTAATAAATAGATGTGATTTCCTACATTTTTGGTGTATTTTAAGGGGTAGTTAAACATCTACATGCTTGTAAAAAAAATATACGTAAAAATACATACACGCATAAAGCAAAATAGCAACTATTGAGATTACTTGTTAGGAAGGATGAAGTTCATGAACTGGCAATATGTTTATCTATTTTACATAAAAACTATCGTGGCCGGCTGCGGTAGCTTGGTGGTCTGCGCCACGGTCTTGTAATCCTGAGGTTGCAGGCTCGAGCCCAGGTTGTGTCAAGAAGGGCATCTGGTGTAAAACAATCGCCACATCTTTGATGGGAGTTTGCTCCCCGTGGCACCCCCTAAAGAAGGGAGCAGCCAAAAGAAACTCATTTACATAAAAGGAGTCCAGTGTTTTTATTTTCTGTTGGAAGTATTTTACCAAGTGAATCAACCATTTAACTGTAAATGTTGCAGGCCTTTCTCTAATTTAAAAAAATCTTCTCAAAGTTTTGTGCTTTATGAATAGTGTACATACAGTTCTTTTTCCACGGTATTTTGAACTAACAGGAAGTTCTTAACAAGGAACTTTGTTCTTTATGTGGAAAGCAGCCTTCAAGCTGAATTGCGAAAACCATGTCAGCGAACAGTGTTTTTTTTTTTCTCCTGTAATTATTAGCTTTCAATAGCTTTCAAGGTGATAGCAGTGTCCGTAGGGGGATTGCTGAACCCTTCAGGGAAAGAGTAATTATTGGGTTATGGTTTGTATGTGTGTGTTCTTTCATGTTTGTGTCTGTCTGTATTTTATTGTAAGGTTTAGGAAGTGTGCGGTGATTGTTCATTACTTAAACCAGTGGATAAACTTAAAAGTCTCCTTAAAGTGCTTGTGATTGAAAACCATAAGTCAGACATGCTGTATTGCAAAAGTGTACAGTATATGCACGTGCACGTTTAATTTGTCCATCTGTTTACCCCCAGCCAAGCGGAGAGCAGCTGATTGAACACTACCTCAACAGTACCCAGCAGGAAGCCGCCTCGGACACCACTTACATGGGGTGAGGCTAGGCCATTGAACCCCGGTTTCTTTGTTTTGTGACGATAGCACTGCTCAAACAAGGCCGTCCAGTCTGGAAGACGACCACTTGAAGACGAAGCAGGTGGCGGCCTGTGCAAAGACAACAAACATGCTTTGAAATATATGTATTTTTCATTGTATCAACCCCCAGTGATGTTTCACCTCAGGGTCTCACCCCCTGCAAGGGATGCAAGGGAAAGATGAGTAGGGGAGAGTCATTATGTGTTTTTTTTCCATTTTGGTGAGGAATTACACAACAGTGTTTTTAAAGTTGGTAACAAGGCTTGCCAAAATTAAAGCTAAACTGTTTCATTCCAGTGGGGTGCTTAGGTTGCTTTACCCCCCACCCACACACAGACACTACACAATTTCATTTAATTTCAATGATAATTATTAAAAGCAATATTAAACATATTAAAATCAATTATTTAAAATCATTAACTAGTAAGTAGCCTAACCTGACCACATTTATAAGTCTGAGCTTCTCCGACGTTTTTTCCACAATTGAGGGTCACAGCATCTAAAAGCAGCTTCACCAAGTTTGGTTTCGACTTGTACAACAACTCATAACCCTGTGTTTGCTGATCTGAGGTCTGGGCGATTCATAGTGTGTAAAATAGTCAGTTAAGTACCGTGGAGCTAAGCTGTTAAGTGAGCTATGGAAAAGAAGAGATATTTTACAGTATATTGTATTCTGTAAGAGACTGGTAACCAGTGAAGTAAATGAAGAACTGGGATTATATGCTGAGGTCTTCTCGTCTTTATTAAGACTGACAGATTCATTTTAAACCAGCTGAAGTTATCAAAAGGTGTTTTTTGGCAGACCTTTAAGTCAGCCATTACTTTAATCTAGTCGACTGTAATGAACAAGAATTTCAAGATTGGCTTTTGAAATAAAATGTCTGATTCTTACAATGTTTTTAAGATGGTAAAAATATGATTTTATTACTGCATGGCTTTTTGACATTTAAATCTACACTATTTCTAATCTATTTCTCACTTGACATTTATGTTGTTAGAACAGAAGATCACTTGGACAGGACTGTAACAATTTGTGGTTAAAAGTTTGTTTCTTTGTGCCTTTTTATGCATCAGAAAATGTGAGACCATCTCCCCCTTTGATGACTTGGCCTTCGATATGTACCAGGACCCTCAAGTTGCTCACATCATTCGTCTCCTGGACCAAAAGAAGCAAGACGTGGTCCGACAGGAGAACTTTGAGGAGGCTAAGAATCTGAAACAGGCCATTGCAGATCTGCAGAAGGTAACTGACAGGCTGCATTATATTTACATAAAATGTATTAAGTTCAGAGAACTAATTATCATTCTGCGTCAGGATAATGACCGTAGCATTTTTGATGTTTGCGAAATTTGTTAATGTAAAGCTACAAAAAAATATTTGCATGTTTTCTGCCCAAGCATTTAAGTTTTGATGTTTGGGCAGAAAACATGCAAATATTTTTTTGTCTAAAATATTTCCAGGAATTGGTAGCATTTTATTTCCAAACGCAGGTTTACTCTGATTTAACGTTTTGTTTTGTCTAATTGCTATTTTAAAACAATTAGTTTTTTTTTTCCAACATCGCTATTTTGAAGGATTTACAGACACTGTTGCTGCTGTTTATGACAAAAAAACAAAACAATACAAAATAGATCCATACCTTGTAGATTAAAACAAATTTTTGTAGGAAAAAATTGGCAGCACAATGGATTAGTGGTTAGCATTGTTGTCTCTCAGCAAGAAGGTGTTGGGTTCAATCCCCGGCTTGGACCTGGGGTCTTTCTGTGTGGAGTTTGCATGTTCTCCTTGTGTTTGTGTTGGTTTCCTCCCATGGTTAACCACCTTGAAAAGGTGCATGTTAGGCTGTCTCCAGGCTCAGGCCTCCCTTTCAAAAGAGATCTGAGATCTCAAGAGGATTTTCCTGGTTAAATAAAGTTTAAGTTAAATTTTTTTTTTTAAAACAAACAAGTTAAATCTGCATGCATGAGCTTTCTCCGGGTACTACGGTTTCCTCCCACAGACCAAAAACATGCATGTTAGGCTAGAGGTAACTCTAAATTGTCCCTAGGTGTGAGTGAGAGAGTGAATGGTCGTTTGTCTCGTTTGTCTCTGTGTCCCTGCGATGGACTGGAGACCTGTCCGCCTCTCACACAGTGAAGGCTGGACATGGGCACCAGTAACCCCCATGACCCAAAAAGGAAGAAGTGGGTAAAAGATAATGGATGGATGGAAGTTAAATCTGTGTCAGTTTTTTTTTTTTTTCACTGCAACAAATACATTTTCTCTGTTAATCTAAATTCTGTGGGTTTTTACAGGGATCTTGTTTAGCTCTGCAACTATTTGTAATAGAAGCTGTTAAACATTGTTCAGATTCCTGTTACAGACCTACTGTGTGTACATCGTTACCATGCAGACCATGAATTCTTAACGAGCTCAACAGCTGCAGTCAGGGCACTTGGGTGGTGTTTCACTAACACACGGTCAGGAGCCCATCTGTAGCCAGACAACACCGATGCTGTCACAGCATGACATGTTAGCATCATGGCGTCGTAGAAAAAACTGATTAACATGATCATGTGTAGACTTCATCAACTCCTTAATTTACTGGCAAATGAGAGAACAGTGGCACAGAGTCAAAAAAGGAATTATGAAGGGTACAGGAAAATAATGTACCAGGAAACAGATCAGTAAGTATACTTCCTTCACAATGGGCACGGTACACGTGAAAGCAGTCATGCAGCAAATTACAATGTCAAAATGTTGTAGGTTAATATTGCACACTATGTTGATAGTTAACAAAAATAGCAACAACAAAAAAGAACTCTTTAAACACGGGTGTCCAATGTGCGGCCCGAGGGCCATTTGCGGCCCTTGGAGTGATTCTGTGCGGCCCACAGCTGCAGTTTAAGAATGGCATCGTTTTGTCCAGCAGGCTTAAGAAGTAGATGCAGACTTTCTGCAAATTAGTTGTTAATCCTTTTTTATATAATGTTTAGATTTAACAGTGAAACGGATGAAAAACAATCTTCTCAAAATGAGCAATATCAAACAAAATACAAACCTTTGACTATAATCTTTTTATTTTCACTTCGTGGTACAAAGCACCAAAAATCTTTACTGATTTCTACCAGAAAGGAGACTTTTAAATAATGATTCATGAAACTTGGCTAAATATTAAAACTGATCAAATAATCAGGAGGGAAATCGGAAAATTTTAACTGAATATAACGTGTTATCATCTACATATAAGTTGATCAATTTTATCAAACCTTCTATGAATCTGTTGTAGAGACCGATAGCTGGACGATTTTTTAGAACTTGGATCAGATGTTTTTGGCCGTCCATGGTCCAAAAGTCCTTTTTAAAAGGACACTTACTTAAATTATGCTTTTGTTGTTGAGAACAGACTAAAATGAATTTTCCACACACAAGAAAACAACAAACATAGACCCAACAAATCAAATAAATTAAATAATTTTTAATAAAAAATATTAGCTTAGTGCTTATGAGACTTTTAATGTTTTGGATCTACAACAATTTAAAACTTTCTCCACCAATATTAGTGAACTTTTGTCCTTTCTCCAAAATATTGTTCATGTTGAGAGTTAAATTCACATTTTTGTGGCCCACGACTCCTTTCATAGTTTTGGCTCATGAAAACGTTTCGACACCCCCGTCTTAAAATAACTGCTCAGCTGTGTATTTACATTTTAGTAAATTATTATTGCAAGAGCCTATCACAGAAATTCATAAATAAAATAAAAAAAATATTGTTTTTATTCTAAATTATTTGATAGAAATGATGTGAGCAGATTAAATTCTTTACTTTCATTTTCATTGATCTTTAAAAGGCTCATATTTTCCACAAAACACCTGCTTTTTTAAATACATTAACCGAACAAACGTCAGGCTGATTTGAATTTGCAAAAAAAGTATGTTTACATATCTCATTTACTTATTTTAGCTTCTTTAAATGCATTTAATGGTTTTCGCCACACAAGCGTTTCGTAGTGTACTGAAGCCTAAACACAACAATGAACGAACAGGAAGTTTTGTTTAAAGTAAAAGACTCGGGAGGCTTTCTGATGTAGTTTTTTTTGGCTTTCCTCTAGTTAATTCAGCTCAGTGGAATTTTCTTACAGAGAAATGACATCTTCTGCTTACTGGAAGATGTTGTCAAGTTTCCATTTTGTAAATCTCAGTGACTCAGTATGTGGCTTTTATAGAACCAGACAGAACACCCTAACATGTCATGTCTAACACAAACCAGAAACATTCACACTGTAAAATCTATGCGTTTACTATGATATATAACATTAATAATTGTTTAATTGTAGCATTTCACTCATCAAAACGATTCATAAGATTTGGTGACATGAAGTTAAAGGCTGCAAAAAACAAGAAAATGCAGATGGTCAGACATGTAGAAGCCACCGATTGATGGTTTAGTGAAAATCTGTTGACTGCTGTCTTTAATCATTGCAGTGCAAGCTCACCATGTTTGTATGAGACTGCACTTACCTCTACGTCCTGGGATTTCCCAGGTTGGAGAGCGTTTGGCTCGATACGATGTGGAGAAGCGATGTGCCATTGAGAAGGAGGACTACGACTTGGCTAAGAAGAAGAAGGAGCTGATGGATGAGTACAGGAGGACTGTTTTCCAGCAGCTTGAAGTCCACAACCTGCTGGATGTGACACTGGTCAGTTCTCAACTCCTGATGTTGCTCCAGCTGCAATTTATGAGCCACAAGACTGTGATGAAACAAACTCGTGATCAGTTTACATTTTCTGATAAGTACCGAGATAAATTATTAGATCCCAGAAAACTCCTGATGGCGCATGTATTCATGAATCGTTCCATCTGAAATCAATTTATTTTCTGTTTTTCCACTGTGACACTAGATCACCAGTACAGCAGGTTTGTCCCCAGCCCAGTGTCCTCCTCTAACTCTGCCTTCTCCAGGCCATCGTTCCATTCCCAACAAGTCCCTATTGGCTACAGACACATTCAGGAAGGGGAAAAAACTAAGCTGTCATCAACATCAGCAGCCAGCCAGACAGACTGTTGTTTTCCAACACAGCAGCCAACCTGACGCACCGTTCACCCCTGCTGCTGTACCCAAGATAGATGTAAGCGTCTCTTTTCATCCCCTGCATCCCTTTATTTAACAAGTTCCACGCCGGTAGACGCCTAAAAAAGTTTAGAACATTATTCATTCGATAACTGTTCTTTTCATGGTATGTATGTATTATAAACAAAACTTTTTCTTCCTGCATACTTTACTGCATTGTTGTAATCGAGCTCTAAAGCACCACTGGAACATGTCTCCTGACTAAACTTGTGTAGTACTTGAGCCCAGAGCACACAGGGAGATTAGGACCAGAATAAGCTTTTTTTTTTTTTTTGCTTTGGTCGCCACCTACTAAAACCTGCCCTACTACTGGTTTAGGTTTCACTATTTAATTAAAAGCGTGCAACAGTTGGCTGACTCTGGCGGCTGCCAACCTGGCCTCACGGCCGAGCTTTGAGCCTTGTGCTAGGCAGCAGGGTGCCAGTTGGCTCAGAGGAACAAGGGACAGAGCTGGCTGGCTTGAACCTCGGTTTGAGCAGAGGAGTGTAAACAGACATTGTTTTCCTGATTCTGAATGATACAACTCTTCATTTATTTTGTGGTGCTGAGAGTTCGTCCCAAGTATAGTTTAGCTTTACTCCTTTAGCATTTAGCTAATGTTCTGCTAATTTTAGCTAAAATTTAGCTGTTTTTAGTTATTAGTGTTTTGCTAATGTTAGCTAGTGTTGTTTTTAGTGTTCTGCATTTTTTTTGTATTTTTTTTGCTTTTGCTAGGTTTTTTTTGTTATTTATTTTAGACTTTACATAGTGTCCTGATATCCTGATGCATGCTCAATCCTTCAGTGTCCTGATATTAATTTTTACAACTCAGTTTCAGTAAAGTCTTTCAGTGCTCAGCTTCACATTGCATTTCAAATGCAACTTTTCTTGTTAAATATTAAAACATGGTTTAAAGTTGGTGGGGGAGTATTGTACTTTTTATTTCTAGTTACTGTACGGTTTATAGTTTGTTGTTCTTGTCTTTGGTGAAAGGTTACCAGTTTGCCTTATGATGAGAGGCCACTGCCAGCCCTTCAGAGGAAAGATCTGTCAGTCGAGAGCATCCAGAGTCCAGCAGCAGAGCAATCCCCTAAATCTGACGTTCAAAAGACTCCACAAGGACCAGAAATGAGTGGAGAGCCTGAACCCTTGACAGAGAAAGCCCAAAGAGAAGCTGATCTTCCAATAGAAGTCTATGGAGAGAACTTAGTAAGATATTATCTGGTCAAAATATGGGTAATGTGCTCTTAGTTTTACTTTCTCCTGTTTTTTGTTGACTCTTCAAGACGTCCTCTGGCCTATGCCACAACATGGATTTTCTATATTGTTTGATTTCTATACAGAGTACAACATGTGCCAGTTTCTGTCAGTAACTGCTGCAATGCCCACCTAAAACATTCCTGATGTCTTTCCAACCTTTCAAATAATATTTTGCCACTGTTCTTTTTCAGGTTGCTAGAGCATATTCTAAAACCTGGTGCCACAGAGAAGATGCTCTGCTGACTGTGCACAACAGACTGCTGGAAGTGTCCCCATCAGCCCCCAAGGAGGTTCTGAGAAACACGATTAGAGCTGCAGTCTTCCTGGTCAAGAAGGCCCTGCTAGATAAAGTTATATCTGTGAGTCACTTCCTCTAAAGATAATTGTCCAAGTGTGAAATCCTGTAAAGACACTGTGGATTTGTTACCACTGTCCTTATCTGTTAAAGCATATATCAGGTTAATTTATTTTTAAACAGGACTGACTAACATCAATGCAGTCAAAATACAAGCACACACTCACACCAGCACCCTCACTACAATGTCCCCCTTGTACCAGATGTAAACTCCTTCACCTCCTCCACAGCTGGCTTTTTCAAACAAACAGTTTTGACAAGGATGGCCTTGTAATTCCCCCCATGAAGTAACTTAAAGCTTGTAATGAAAAATTGCTACAATAATTTCACTAAACCTTTTCTTGGTCTACAGTAATACATATAATTTTCCATTACTGTGGAGATGAAACAGGATTGTGATGTTTTATAAATCTGATTCAGTTTAGTGACGTTCAATTACAAAAACATTTTTTTTCTTTATATTTTTGACTCTGGAAAACATGGGCATCAAATCCTGGGTAAAATAGTTTTTATTAACTTTTACGCTATAAATACATCAGCTATAGTTCGTACTTGTTCATGTAAGAAGTTTGTTAGTTGGTGTTTTTGCTCTTTACTGTTGAGTATACCTAGTTGTCTTGCAATGTATGAGTTCACCATTATAAATAAATACATTTACGTAATTTCCTTCTCTGCAGAATTTTCTGCTCAAGTAAAACATTGCTAACTCTAGTTTATCTTTTGACATGTATCACCAGGTATTTTTAGAAAGTTTGCAATGTTTAAGCTTCATTTAATGGCTCTGACTATAGGTTTTCTACGCATCACTGAAGCTGCTTCGGCTAATGCTGTGCCAGCAGATCCCAGGTCTGGGACTGGGCCAGGCTGAGGTAGCACACTGCTTGGAGCAGACAATCCCCAACTTGCTGGCCAGAGCTGGAGACTCCACAAACCGCCTGCGTGCTGCAGCAATTACTTTTATACAGGTATGGTGATGGTGGCACACTTGTTTTTCTGGAATATGTCACAATACAGTATACAACAATCAGTTCCACATTTTTGTCAAATGCAGCTACGTTTTTGACTGGAACAATAATTAAAACGCGTCCGTGGTCACTCTGGTCAGTGCCACTGTCTCGTAAACCTGAGGCTGCAGGTTCGAGTCCGGGTTGCATCAGTAAGGACATCCATCGTAAAAAAAAATGTCAAATTTGTCATACGAGTTTGCTTGCTATGGCAACCCCCGCAGAAGGGAGCAGCTAAAAGAACAATAATCTGTGAGCTTTTGTGATTTTCACATTATTATAAAACACCATGAAGAATTATCCTGTCAGGTTACACCTGATGCTGAATAATGGAAACAATATCCAGAATGTTCCGGTTTAATTACACAAAACAGACAAACAATCGTGGGGCAGCTGTGGCTGAGTGGTTAGAGCATTTGTCCTCCAGTGCAAGGGTTGAGGGTTCGATTCCACCATCAGTCACATGACGAAGTGTCCCTGGGCAAGACACTGAACCCCTCATCGCCTCCGACGTGTATCATATCCGTGTATGAATGTGATAAAGCACTGATTAGTCTTTGTACAGCTATAGTAGAGTGCTGTATGAATTGGTAAATGAGGGCACAGATTTAAGTGTAAAGCGCTTTGAGTGTCTTAATAAGATGAAAAGGCGCTATATAAGTACAGTCCATTTACCATTTGTTCAAATCAAATGCAAAACTGACTGCAATATTTCTGCAAAAGGTTTATTCTCAAAGTAGAATGAAAACATTTATTTTCCTGTTAAGTTTACAAATTTGTCTTCTTGAAGGAAATTTAGATACAGTAGTCCCTTGTTTGTCGCGGGAGATCCGTACCCTGAAGACCTGCGATGAGTGAAAAACCACGAAGTAGGAATAGTAGTACAAGTAGTAAGTAGTCGTTTATTTTATTATTTATAAATATATATATTAAGGCATTTTAAACCCTTCCCACACTTGAAATATTCTAAACAATATTTCTAAATGCTCTAAAAGAGCACAGAATCCTGCAGCAGTATACCATACCATACCATACCACTTTATTTATAAAGCACTTAAAACAGCTACAAAGCCAACCAAAGTGCTGTACAGACAAAACAACAGGTAACACACAAAGCAAAATACAAAATGAGGTAAATCAGAATATAGACATAAAAACGCTGCAGATAATGACGACAAACCAGTGTGGAGCATACAGTATGGGCTGCACAAAGCTGCAGCAGGTGCTAAATAATTTAAAACAATTTATTTTAAATATAAATACCATGCCGATCGTGCGGCTCATCCATCAATCAGCCAGTTGTGTGTCATGTCCAATCTTATTTTGAAAAAACGCGATAAACGAACCGCGAAGTAGCGAGAGACTACTGTACAAGCGTCTTACACAATTTCATTCCACCTCATGTACCACATGTGGTGGAATGACAAATAAAGAACCTTGAGTCCTCGAATTCTTAGATTTTTTAAATTGATTATGCCGTGTGTGTGTGTGTGTGTGTGTGTGTGTGTGTGAGAAAGCCAGTTTTTGATTATTAAAACAGCTTACCAAACTAGATTAACACCATTCTCACCTCAATGTCTGCATCCTGCTCTGTCGACTAATGCATAGTTCTAGACAAGCCGGGAGATGTCGTCATGTTCTGCATTAACATTTAACACAAGCCCCGTGTTGTTTTTACCCTGACTGCTCACACTGACTCCTTAAGCACACCAGGAGCCACTACAGCGTGTGTTCACTAGAAGAGAAAAAGGTTTAGTTCATTTTTTTTTGTGTGTGCTGGTACTTTCACATGTGCTGTTGGGCAAAACAAGACAGTTTATGAGGGCTGACGCATGACATGTGCACTTCATGTGCCTTTTGCTTTGTGGAATCAGTTGCAGTGAACTCATACTTGGGTGTGTGTGTAGGAAAGAGGGAGTTTCTCCTTTAACTCAGTAGCTCATATATTTACCAAACCCATCTGGATTGTGGGTTGTTTTTGAGGGTTTGTTAGAGCGATAGCTGACATTTTGTTTGTCGAGCAAATAATTAAATTTTTTGTGTCTCAGATCTCCAGAATATGTTCATCGCACTTGGTGAGACTAAAATGAGGCAAAAAATGAGACTTTTTAAGAGCCTGCTTCTCTGTGCTAGAGTTATCTGCCACGACTTGTTTTCTTTCCAGATGTTTGTGTTGAAAGATAAATTACTTTGCGACATCACACAGGTATTTATGGGGGGCTTACAGTACACATTTTACCTAATAAGTAGGTGCAAGTCTACAAACATGTCAAATACTTCCAGCACTGTACATTTCATAGTCATTCCTCCTCACTCTCATGACTCTTGTTTAGGAAACAGCCGTTCTGAAGGATGTCCGGGCCTTGCAGATAATCCCTGGTGAACTAGTGAAGCCTTTCAAATCCAACTTCCCCTCTCGCTTGGCTCAGAGTCGGGCCGAGCTGGTCGAGAAACTACTCCAGGACCTGGGTACACAGAACTCTGGCTTCACACTGGAAAATGTTATCATGGTAAATGAGCTACACAGTACTACATCCATCTTTTCATACGTCTTTTTGTGTGATGTCTTCAAGGAAACAATGTTATTTTAAATACAGTAGTCCCTCGTTTACTGTGGGGGTACGTTCCAGACCGCCGCAATAAGTGAAAATCCGCAAAGTAGCAACTTTATTTTTATTTTAGTATTTATATATGTTTTAAGGCTTTAGAAACCCTTCCTACACGTTTGCAATGTTCTAAACTCTTAAACCTACATCATTTTAACAACATACTATATGTAGCTACAAAATTTTACTCACCAGCTCTGCAGAGCAACAGCGGCTCTCGGTTCCGTTTCTGTAGACCTACCCTGCGGCGACGAAGCCCCTAATGTTCTAAACTCTTAAACCTATTAATTGTAACGTGTATAAATAAAGGTTGAATTAATGAATGAATATGTAGCTACTAAAATTTCCTCACCAGCTGGTAGAACAGCAGCAGCTCTGTTCCGCTCCGACTTGGTTCCGTTTCGGCAAACCTACCCTGCCGGCTCTCTGGCTCGGGGTAGTGGCGGTGGGCTCCAGAGAGAACGCTGAACCTATGACTGCATGTCCCTTCTCAGAAGTTCTCTTGGGCTGGCTACCAGCTCTTGGGTTCACTGATGGGTCTGGAGGTCCGGTTCTGGTTAGGTTCCGTGCAGCTCTGAATCCGCTGGGTGCCAAAGTCACTGTAAATGACCAAACTTTTTCGGATCAGATCAAAACTTTCCCTCTACATATTTCAGCAGAAGGCAACAAGGTTTCTGGGCAGGGCACTGTTGCCTTCTGGGAAATGTACTCCTTATGCACAGCAATACAGTATAGGCTTATTGAGAGAAAACTAGAAATTAGCTGTGTCTGTCCGAAGTATTTAATTGTTCGTTAACTTTTTACTGTACAGTACTGTATCCAGTACCATCCCAATCATGTAATATTAAAGTCGACAATCACGTGTCATGTACAATTATTATTATTTTTCTTCCTCGTGTTCAATCTTACTTTGAAAAACCGCAAAGGAGCGAGTCAGCGAAAGTCGAACCACAAAGTAGCAAGAAACTGCAGAGAGACAGTATGAAGCCTGTCAAAATAAAATAAAAATTATTAAAATTAAAAAAATGAATGCACATATTAGTCACTCCAGCTGTGTTACAGTATTAGAGTAGTCATTGGGCCAACTTTCCATCTAACATTAAACTTGGAATGACTGGGTGTAAACGCATAGATTCTTCAAAGGAAATTTTAATATAGTAATGAGGACAGCTTGGCGGGCCGACCCTACTTTGGGCACCCCTGCTCTAGAAGGATTTAGGGCTCTATCTCACTGAGCTGCAACTAGTTGGTGAACGGCATTCATTAGGGAGTCTCCCATATATCTTTAGGTCTTGCAATTTTCTCAAGGTTCTCAACCTCTTGCACGCAGCCCTGTCCCTTAAAACACGATCAGAATTTTTTTGGCTGCAACTTTTTTTAAAGCAAAACATCACATCTCAAAAACTAAAAAAGCACACTGATAATGATTAATATGTATTCAACAACTGATCCAAATTTGCCTATCTTCATTTCAAAAGTGTGCTGCAGCTGATTAAATCATAAACGTGTGGGCGACTGCCTACAAAACGAGCCAAGGTGGGTATAATGTTGACAGAGGTGGACACCAAAGTCCCTGCAGCTAAGTAACCACCTTTGTAATCATAATTCAATCCATCCTGCTAATAATTGACCACAGGCGCAGAAATGATGAACATTTGGGTTGGGGATAATTCTTTAGAAGTCCCGACTTTTTTTTTTTTTTTGCTTGGGTTTTTAGAGCCAGAAGTGTGATCTGAAGGTCTTAAAGTTACATCAGTTTAGTTACAACCACCAACAGTTTGTGCCTCCCAACTTTAACAATATGTTTTATTATAATAGAGGATTTGACGGTTACTAACTGGACACCAGTGTTTCCCCAACTTTTTGGGACTATTTTCTTTACTTGAAAAGTCTTCCCGTAAGTTCCACTCATTTAAGCCTGTTGCCACTACTGGCACTGACAACCTATTCACTCTTTTGGTTCCCAGCAATGACCTAATACGTGCACGTAATCTATCCAGCAGTAGACCTAATGGGTCAGGGCTAAAAACTATCTTGAAGCCTCTCCAGTTGACACAGTTCTTTTCTCTTCCCTTCCCCCTATTTGGTCGTCTTCTTGACTCTGCTTGAGAGCAAATTGTTAGGCTTGTCACCCGAGTTTCTCTTCGTCTTGAAGCCACAGGCAAACAAGTGGTACTGTGCAGCTTACACTTACATGTTGAGGCAGGCCTGCTCAGAGCCAGACCCCTCTGTAGCTGCTGCCTCATATGTTTGTTTCAACATTTCCAGGGGGATTAAGATGAGATAACAAAGCTTTATACCACAACTGTCACTTTAGAGAATGGAGAAGAAACGTGTACACAAACAACACGTTAAAGCTAAAATTTATTGATGATAAATTTTGTGTTTTAGTATTTAATTAAAACCCGGTGTAATTAAAGACCTAGCATTCCTTGAAGGAATGCATATTACCTGCCACTTTTCATGCCAGACTTTTAAACACATTAAATTCATATGATGAAACAGACGGCGTTATAGCCTTTTTGAAAATGACATCATGTACAATCTCATGCACCACAGATATTCTGAAAGATGTATTAGCACTCAGAGTATGTGTTGTTACTCAGTACACTACCATGGGAAACCTTAGCTCAAAATCTGTACATTTGACTAAGGTACAGGCATATTGTGTAGTAATATGATGTTATTATTACACAAACACATGCACACACCCTTGGCTGTGCTAGTTAGGACTTTAAACACATATCTTTAAGGTTTTTAAAATGTTTTTGTGCCGTTTCCTTGTGGAAATCCTAACTAAGATGCATAAAAATTCACTCCTATCTGCTTATACAACAACACAAAGTATCTTTTAAGATAAAATGTTGAATTACTTCTCAGTTCTGTCATTTACCTGTATCTTACAAACGCATTACAGAAAGTTAATCTCTTTCTTTCAGTTGTCAGGGCACAAATACCCAAACAGCAGTACAATGTCTAAATAATATACATTTGATTATGTTTATAATATGCATGCAAATACACCACTAAATAAAATATAAATGCAACATTTTTCTTTTTGCTCCCATTTTTGATGAGCTAAACTCAAAGGTCTTTTTTCTATGAATGCAACAGGCCTTTTTCTCTCACATATTGTTAGCAACTTTGTGCAAATCTGTTAGTGAGGACTTTTACTTTGCCGAGAAAATCCATCCATCTCTCAGGTGTGGCATATCAAGATGGTGATTAGACAGCGTGATTATTGCACAGGTGTGCCTTAGGACGACCACAATAAAAATGTGCAGTTTTTATAAAATAAAATGTGCAGTTTTATTATCACACTGCACAATGACACGGATAACGCAAGTTTTGAGGGAGAATGCAATGTGCATGCTGACTGCAGGAATGTCCACCAGAGCTGTTTCCTGTGAATTGAATGTTCATTTCTCTACCATCTTTATTTCACTGTCAACTTTTAGATTAACTCACAGCAGTTAGCTTATAAGCCACCTCTGCATATTTGATCTAAGTTAACTCTTAAAAGCTTTGGAAAGTACCGCTATGCCATGTTAATATTTACAGCAAATTACTGCCTGGAACCTTAAATTGCCTATTAATTATTATTATTATTTTTAGCATTTTTCTTTGTCTAACGGCACTTTTACATCACCATCAAGCCCTCTTTCTTGCTCCAGTGCAGTGGTGTTGTCTACATTTTTGTACTGGGTATACTGTGCTTAGAAACCAAAGTACACTAGTTAGTACAATGTAATTGCTAATTTATTTTGGTTTTTAAACATAATGCAACATTTCAAAATTTCTCTGATGCTTATATTTGAATAAGTGTACAACAAACTTTGTACAACAGTTGGCTTTGTATTAAAAACATGTTATAGAATTTATAAAATAATATCAAAGCAAACCATGTTCAAGTATTAAATAGTTAAGTACAGAAGTATTTATTATACAAAAAAAGTATTAATTATACAAAAACCAGGTCGAACTAACTCGGTGTGTCTAAAATGTTCCAAATGTGTTGGCAATGACACGAGCCCATGTCACGTATCATTGCCAATGATACGTGACATGGGCTCGTGTCATTGGGCACTTTTAAGTGGGCATACTGAAATTCCCAAACTTTTCTAGTGGGTATAATCTGTATTCCCACGTATCACATAGACTACACCACTGCCACAGTGGTATCTCAGCAATAGTTCAAACATTTATTCTTCTTTCTTCTGATGTTACCTGGGTGATCTGCTCTGAGGTCGAGGCCAGAGTGGGTAAAAAGAGTGGGATTGAATTTCTTGTAATTAAAATGAGAAGTGGTCGGTGGAGAGAACAGAATATTAGTAGATTCTCCCTGAGCCTTGTTGAGCAAAGGATGGGTGGTCTTTTAACACAGTTTACCTCTGAATGTTTGTGTTTCCTGCTGGTAGTATTATCTTTGTGATGTAACTCTTCACTGACATAATGGGCTCTTTTTACGTCACAATACCTACTGTTCATTCAATTGTCTTGTTCGATTGTAGAATAAAGGGTTAAAAGACTTGCTTAAAGCAATTATTATAAAGTGATCTATGATTGCAGTCATGCTATTGTGATTTTTTTTTCCCAATCTAATTATTCACCTGTTGACAAATCAACCAGATTCTGGATTCTCATGAACAAGAGTTTTATATGAGGAAGTTACTGATGACAGAAACCCACTTTGTATGCTACATGATATTTTTCTTTAACAGGTTTAGAGTAAAATATTGACTGCAGTTCCATTACTGATGTTTGTGCCACTTTCACTGGTCATATATTATAATTTGCTTAAGTTTAAAAATTATAATTGTCCACTTCTGAAGTTGAAACAGTCATAGTGCGTGCGTGTTTATTTTTCTGTAGCATTAACAAAATATCTCATGAACTACTGGTCAGATTTTAATATAGAAAGTAGTCGGTGGATGTGCACCTTTTAAGAGGCAACTCAATTCAAGTTGCCTGTCACAACTAATTGACCGTATAAACACAAACATGTCGGTTTTACAAATATTGAGCTTAAGTTTGATGTGGCAGTAGCTGAGAGTCATGCCCAACGTATACTCTGAGTGCTTCCCCATCCTATGACATCTCACAGTAATACATGAGGTCGTGCATAACATTATTTAAAATCAAAGTTTATGCTCAATAATCCAGGTAGAAAATCCAACAAAGTTCAGTCAGGTTATCTGGATGGTTTCTTTGTTGAGATGTTTTGCCCTTCATCCAAAGGACTTCATCAGTCTGAGGAGCCACAACAAGCTGTCCCATAAGCAGCACACTCACGTAGTGGACCAACAAATTTGCTGGTGATAAGATGGTTTCTGGGGCTCGCCCTCTTCCCCGTCAACTCCTCTGAGGCAGCCATAGCCAAAGTGGTTCAAAACATCAAAGTTCATGCTCAATAATCCAGGTAGAAAATCCAACAAAGTTCAGTCAGGTCATCTGGATGGTTTATTTGTTTGTTGAGACATTTCATCCTACATCCAAAGGACTTCATCAGTCTGACGAGCCTCCGTTTATTGTGGCTCCTCAGACTGACGGAGTGCTTTGGATGAAGGATGAAACATCTCAACAAACAAAGAAACCATCCAGATGACATGACTGAACTTTGTTGGGTTATTTACAATGTCTGGCCCTCATGGCTTTAACTTCTCAACATTAGATGATCATAATTTAAATATTTGGCATGAAAGGCAGCAGCCTAGACCTTTATTGTGTTTTATGTCACAATAGTTTGTCAAGTCATGCTCACAGAAAGTCTTTTGTCTTTTAACAGTTTTGTAGAGGTGCGTTGGAGCACAGTGCCAAAGAGGTTCGGGAGCTGGCCGTGCGCATCATCTCGTCCATGTATCAGCAGCACGGGACTGCTGTTCTCAGCTACCTTCCACCAAAAGATGCTGCGGCACGAAAAAACTTTGTCTACAAAAACCTTTTTGATGGTTTTGCTAAGTTTGATGGAAAACTGGTGGAAACTCTGGTAAGGACTGATAGTGTATCAGATCATGTTTTTTTTCCCATGTCTATCATGGGAAAATTGCATTAAGTTGTCAGGTGGAAGAAACATTTATTGTGTAAACAAAACAAAGTCCTGCAGGAGCAGCTGGTAGATGAACAGTGAAGCTGCAAGATGTATGGATAGGAGCATTTATGTAAGCTGAAAGTCAGAGGACAGGTTTATAGATGAGACTTTTTTGTTTTCAAATCTGGCTTTGGTGAGAAAACACAGTGGGGTTTCATATTACATGGGAAGCAATTTTCTTTTACCGAAACCAATTTTACATCCTCCCTTTGGGTAATTTGCTTAAACAAATGGACATCGGATACACACTCACATTTTATTATTTTATAATATACTGTGAATATAATATTCTCCAAGAATTATATTGTTATTAATTGGACTGTTTGTTCATTTAACAACAGCTCTGTTTTTTAATTTATTTATATATTTTATTATTAACACAAATGCACTACAGCTGACCTTTTGTTATTTAATACAATGGACTCTTGTGAGAAGCCATACCACACTGTAACAATGGTAACCATCTGTTCCCAGCATTTCATTTCATACTTTTTGAGTTTTGCGCATCACAGTGACACAGCATTAGCTACAAGAGGGTTAAACAAATAAATAAAAAGGCATTACGATGAGCAAACGGAGCAGGATGCAAAGTACATAATAGTGTCTGAGTTACTCCAACAAATAGATTATTGGCGTTTAACTTTTTCATGTAGACTTTGAAGAAGGGTGGTAAAAGTGGACAAAAGGAGAAGGAGGAAATCCACTCCCTTCAGGAGCAGCTGGCTGTCCTGAAAGACGTCACAGTAGGTGGAGCTGTCATTAGTCTGCAATGACATCATTTCCCGTCACAATAGCTAACTTGTGTTTATGACTTCACACAGACTTGATAATATTTTCACAATGTAGGTGGTCACACAGTTATTCTGATTTTAAAAAGCACATTTATTTATTTCTAATATCCACTGAAAATCCTATACTTTCTTTAACAGTCACTCAACTTTACTATTAAACTGATATAATTTAATCTCTTGTGTGGATTGTGTTTTTGGATGTTTTTTTTTTATTTTTATTTCCAATATTTAGGTGAAAGGGAATGAAAGCACCAAAGGACAACCACCCAAAAAGGAACAACACAAAGTCGATAAAGAGTCTCCAAAAGGTGCCAAAGCCCGTATGTATACATATGTTTATATTTTTACAACAAATTTATTTAAAGTTCTCACACATTTATTTTCTGTTCACCACAAGGTCTGATATGCACGTCTATCATTTGAAAAGGATATTGATTATTGAAACAAAACGCTACTGACTGGCTGATGTAACGCTCGCGTTTGAGTAATTCTTAGCCGAAGGATGTGTTACTTTTATGTACATATAAAAACTTTAAAAAGTTCTCAAGTCACAAGAATAAGAAATATCATTTTCTCACCTTTTGCCTTTTTTAAATTTCTTTAACAATAAAGATAAAAACAAAACAAGTTTCTTGTTTTGCTTATGACTGTAATATAAATTATACTGAACTAAAGACATTTGTTTGTACTTCAGTTTATTGATGTATTACATTTTAAGAGTTCATCACAAGACCATTATGTTGCACTATTAAATTTAACAAATATGTTTTTAAATTGCATTTGGTCTGTATTATTGTTTGCTATCAAGAGGTATTTATAACCTGTATAAATAAAGGCTAAATGAAATGAAAAAAATTTATATCATTTGCTTGCTGTTTGGAAAAAGAACCATCAGGAAGGAAACCAACTCTTTCTGTTCTGACAAGCAACAGATTCTGTTGTTTTCCTTTGCAGATGTGACCAAAGGTCCTCAGAGGAAAACGACTAACAGTGTAGATAATGTGCAGCACTCTGTCAAGTATCTGGACAAGTAAGTGATGAAAACTTCTGTTTCTACCTGATTAAAATAAACAATATTAATGAATTATACAAACACAATTTATGTATTTGTTATTTGTAAATCTTTGCTTCTGCGTCTTGCGTTGACAGGTTTTGCATTTAATGTGAAGATTTCTATGGGTAGAAACTTGTGCCATCAGAAACTGAATTTGAATTGCTCAGACTGAATCTGTAATTGCGTATTTTGAAATGAAATCCATTGGTTTCAAAACGAATTTCACTAAATTGAAACTGAATTCATTTGCTTTGAATCTGTATTTCTTGTATTGAAAATTCAGTTTGACTACTTTCATTTTCAGCTCTATAATTCAAATTCAATTCCAAAATGCAGTTTTTTGTGTCACACATCCGGGTCCTTGAGAAATCCACAGAGTAATTGAACGCAGACTGACAGATTTACATTTCACTTTAGTGAAACTTCCTTTACAAAAATGTAGGCGTGGGGTTCAGTCTCAAGGAGGCGGTGATGCAACAAAGAGGATGCAATCTGCTGTAAAACACCATGTTCATTCATTCAGCCTTTATTTATACAGGTTAGTCTCATTGAGGACTCATTTAAAGAACGACCTGCTTTAAACAAAGAACACAAATGAGATACAGACAACAACAGACAAACCGTTTCAGTTTTTAATGTGCTATATAAATAAATCTGACTTGACAATCATATAAAAAGCAATAAAATGAAAAGTTAATACAAGAAATTATATGAAAACTAAACAAAAAACAGCTACTTTATAAAGAAGAAAAATAACTTCCTTTATGGTGTCCAACAATGTTCAGTCAGGTCATCTGGACAGTTTCTTTCTTTTTTTGTGGAGAGACATTTCGCCCTCCATCCGAAGGGCTTCTTCAGTCTGAGGAGTCACAAACAAACTTTTCCCCACTACGCAGTACACTCCTACATTGGACCAACCTGTTTGCTGGTGATAAGATAGATTCTGAGGGCCATCCTCCCAGGCAAGCAGCCACAGCCAAAGTGGTTCAAGACACTCCTCAGACTGATGAAGCCCTTTGGATGGAGGGTGAAATGTCTCTCAATAAAAAAAAAGAAACTGTCCAGATGACCTGGCTGAACATTGTTGGATTTTTTTTTTTTTTTACCTGGATTATAGAGCATGAACCTTGATATCCTTTACGGTGTATTTGGAGCTGGAGCAGTGGTGCGCACGAGTTCATGCCAAGTTCATGTGCGCACCACTGCTCCAGCTCAAAATAGGCCGTAAAGGAAGTTCTTTTTCTTCTTTTGTGTGTTACGGCGGATTGTATCCTCTCTGTTGCACCGCCTCCTTGAGACTGAACCCCACGCTCACATTTCCTTAAAGGAAGTTTCACAGACGTGAAACATAAATCTGTCAGTCTGCTTCGATTACTCCATGGCTTCCTCAAGGACCCGGATGTGTGACACAAAACACTGAATTTTGGAATTGAAATTGAAAGCAGTCAAATTGAATTTTCAATGGAACAAAATACAGTTTCAAAGCGAATTAATTCAGTTTCAAACAATGAATTTCAAAATACACAAATACAAATTCAGTCTGATCAATTCAAATCAGTTTCTGATGGCACAAGTCTCTGCCCATAGAATTCAGTTTATTTCAGTTGTGTTCATTTAACAACGCTGTTCATTCAGTTTGAAATTAATCGTTAGCTTCTTCACAATCTTATTTCAGCTTGTGTATATTCTGCGATAAAAAAGACGAGTCGTTCACAGAAGATGGATTGGACATTCACTACTGGAAACAGTGTCCGATGCTGCGGCGCTGCGATGACTGTAGACAGGTAGAGCGTTCACAAACTTGTGTTTTGAAGGCATGACGGTTTGAATCTGCTCTGTCACCACGTCAAAGACACGTACATGTTGTGTTCACAGGTAGTTGAGATAGCCAGTTTCACAGAACACCTGCTGGGCGAGTGTGAGAACAGGTCCAAGTTCAGCCAGTGTTCACGCTGCTCGGAGGCCGTGCACACAGAAGATCTGCCATGTCATGCTCAGGGTTCAGACTGCAACCGTAAGTTTTCTGTCCCTCTTTCATCCTGTTGAAAACAGTCTAATACGTCTCTGGCAAAGTACATGCTACAGTTTGTTTGTTTGAATAAAGTTTTATTGTCTTTTATTATGCTGCTGTTTTGCTTTAGTAGTGAAAATGTATAGATGAAATGCTTGGAAGAGCGATGGGGCTACGCAACAATAATAATGATTTGTGTTTACAGTATCTGATTTAATCAGTAGACCACCAACAGGCTCGAGATGCTCTATGTGGTTTAAACCTGAAAAGAAACGAAGATAGCAGCAAACGACAAAGTAAAACCAGAGCTCATGGGCAAAGTAAGAAACGCCCATGGATGTTTCAGTTTATATTTCAGCTCAGAAAGACAAAGAGGAAGGCTGAAGAGGAGATGCAGTTAGAGAGGACATGGAGTGAGATGTGAGATGGAGGAGGATGACTCGCTATGACAGCACCCGTAGAGGCTCATCTGGTTTACTTATTCTGCAAGACATTTCTGCAGAGCATTAGTCCCCAATCGGACTTGTGCTAGTAACCTTCCTGGCCGATGCTGGTACACAAGTGGACAGTTTAGAGGATGGGTATTCACACCTTGCAGTAAAATACGTCAGAGCATTTTACAAAAAGTTGACCCCACCAGCTCCCACAGCTATCAAACCAACATTATGCTGTGTAGGGAACTCCTCCTTAAATTTCTTTAATAATAAATTCAGGGATATCTTCCCAACAGAACTGTTCTTTATGATTACTAATGGTCCAAACAGTTCAGGTCACTTAAACATTTGCTCTCATAATGTCTAAAAAACTGACGGCTGAAATAAACACCCGGGTGGTAACAGCTGTTTGACTGGAGACACATGGAGTCTGCAGGTGGTCCTTTAATGTGCCCGAGGACAGATCTTTGACTAATAGATTAATGTGAATCATTATATTTTATATTATTATTATATTATATACTTCTAAATGTGACCTGAAACATTGGATCTAAATCTGTCCTGACTGTTCTCACATGTATTCAACACTGTCCAGATCATGCAGAACATACGGTTTGCTAGTACTGGATCTGAACTGGGCTTTAGTTTCTTGAACCAGAATCACGTCAGGGCCCGGTGCAGCTCAGTTCTTTAAACCTGGCATTGGATCAGATTTATTTTTCTACATTTTTGACTAAAAGCCAACATATGTTCAGGTTTTGTTTTTGTTTTTACTCTCAGCTGTAATAATCTGTTGAAAACAAGCGACTCGTCTTATCTGCCTTTGATTGTTTGCCAGCATAGTTTGGAAATTCCCTCCTTCCACATCAAACTCTTTCTTAACCATAAATAACTTTAAATTTAATTTCCTCGTTTAGATTGCACAGTAATGTTGTTTCAAAAGGCGCTTATCCAATCCAACAATGTTTTACCACCCTCAGGTGCAAAAACAGGCTTCAGCTCATGCAGTTTCCTCTGCCATGATTTTGTACTGTAACTCCACAGCCTTAAATACTTGTCCCAAATTTTGTTTTATCACCCAGAAAACCTAATTCATCTGTCTCTTTTGCTCGATTAGTTTTTATCTGGACAGTTGCAGTGATTCTGTTTCTAAAATGAAGTCTTACATTGAAAATGTTCTTAACAAAACATGGATTTTTTTTTTTTTTTTAGCGAATCACAGATTGGTAAACTAACTAGGCTTAAAATTAGTTTTAGTTATTAAAATGATGCTTTCAGACCCAGTAACTTTAATATTCTTACAAATAAATGCTATTTAATACACACTTTAAAGCTAAACTCAAACTTTATTGATACTGTACTAAGGAGTTTTTGTACTGCCAAAAACCCAAAGCCTCCCTTGGAGAAGAGTAAGTGGATAATTTATAAACTGTGTATACCGCATTAGTACAGGTTGTAGTCCCAGTGCTCAAGAACAGAGTATTGCTTGAATACTTTAATTTGTTTTCTTCAGTGAAGTATTTTTATTTATTTTAATGGAGTTTCAGTAGCTTTATGTTGTTGCATTTGGCTTAAAATGTGTCGTTTTTTTTTGTTTGTTTCAGCCCTTGGCTTGAGAAATGGCTCCACCTTAAACCACTGCCCTTTGTGTCACAGCAATTTTCCCCCTGGAGAGGAGGTGAGGCTTTGTTGCTGTAATTTACATATCAGCTGATCTACAACAAAAGCTCAAACAACAAGAAAAACTGAAAAGTTTTCTTTCTCAAATGCTGTTTTGTAATATGTGGACTTAGTGTTGCCCACTGCCAAAAGTGAAGCAGCAATAATGTTTTTACTCGTGTTTATTGAAACTCTTAGAGAGCAATTGTTGGACGTTCATCTACGACTCATTATACGCCCGTCAAAAGGCAGATGTATTATGGTACAGTTTCTGTCTGTATAGAGTATATAAACTTTCTCTGGTCCCACCCATAACTTCTGATCCACTCAAGATAATTTCATGAAATTTGAAACACATATGCATCATCACTAGACAGTAGGGATGAACAATATTGAATTTTTGGCCGATATATTAAAATTTATTTGGCCGATAACCGATACCAGCTGCAGCCCAGGTACTCACCAGTGAAGATGCAACTTGAAGAATGAGTTCAGCTTCAGGATTATTTGAGACTTTCCTGCCAGTTCTGTGAGCTTAAAAGATGGTGTAGATTTGCAAAAAAAAAAATCTTTCCCTCCATTTGGCAGAAAGCTGCAGCTGGAAGCACTGTTCACTTCTGGCAAGTGCAGTGTTGGCTTCTGGATAATGTAGTTCTTTTGACTGGCTTTACAGTGTAGGGTTATTGAAAGAAAACTACAAAATGGCAGCGCCTGTCCAAAGGTTTTTTTTTTGGTTGTTAGCTTTTCATCTGTACCGTCCCAATCACCTGAGTAATAATACAGTTGACAATTGTTGAAAAACTGCAAAAGAGCGAAGGACTACTGTACTCTTGTTAACATTTGGAGTTGACCTAATTCAAGATGACTGCCACAGCTAATGGATATCGACAACACCCCCAGTCCCCGAGGCTCATTGGGGTTAACCTGTATAAATAAAGGTTGAAGGAACAAAGATGGCTTTAATTCGGTCAGTTTTACAGATATTGAGCTAATTCAGGCATTCTCTGAGTGTTAACACATCTCGCAAAACTTCACAATTCAGCATGAGATTACTCATAACGTTGTTATAACTGCTCATAACTGCTTTAATTCTCAACAGATTATGATTTGGAAACTGGCACCAAAGAAGAATATACATTTCTTTAAGGAATGTTAGGCCTTTAATTAATTACTTAATTTATGTATTTGCAACAAAAAAAGAGTCTTAAGTCTTTAAACTTTTCCATCTCTGTTTATATGAGTACAGATTGTAATAATGATGTAATGTTGGGCTTTGGAGCAGACAGATGTAAAGGTAAAGCACCACATCCTTTAACAGCTTCAGAGGAGTTTCACCTTTGTTCTCTGTGGTCTGTAATTTCTTCAGGAGAAGGAACTATCACATTCTTGACATTTTTCTTAACAAAAAAACCAAAGCATGGTTTCCTTATCACTCAACTGTTTTATTACAGTAATGGTCACCCTGTTAAACATTGGTGATCATTTCCTTTTTGTAAAACGGTTATAGATCGACTGTTTAATTTAGACAATCTTTAATCTGAAACCGCAGATATTTTCTGCTAAACATTTAGTAATCGATTTAATTCTTTGACATTTGGAAGAAGGATGTCGCAAGAAAAGCTGTAAATGTAACAAAAACATGGTATTTCTAAATCTGTAATATTAAACAGTATTATCATTTGGTGGAACATTTGTGATTATCTTTGTCGAATGTTACTGTGCTCAAATGTCAGCGCTGTTGGAGCTGCACCTTTTGTTACTAAAGCTTAGTGTCCGGGAGAAGTTTATAAAGAATATGCACATTGTGCACGAGTTCGTCTGCCTCACAAAGAAATCCAACCAAAACCCAGTCCTTTTATCTTTATGTTGTTGTGGTTTCTGTCTTTAGGGAACAAATTGAGTCACACAACTTGCACAGTCTTTCCAGAAGTGACATCTGACATTAGAACCAACCTGATTCAGTTCACAGAAATATTTAGGATATATTTGCTGTAGTTTACAGGTTAACATATGAGCTGCAAGTGTGCTTAAAATATCATTTTAGCTTGAAATGCTCAGAGAATTGGAACTAAACCGTTTCTATATTTGATATATTCATAATTAATGATATTTAAAAAATATTTTGTTTTATACATTGACAACTGTTCTTTATATTTGATTTGTCAGCCCTAAAAAATAAAAACCTGACCTGATAAAAAATAGTAAAAGATTAAGTACTGTAGTTTTATATATCAACAGACTGCTTAGCTGCTTTACTCTGTTATTCATAAAAATCTGACCTGTAAACTGTGTATTTGTGGAAAATATGTATTTTTTTCAAATTGGTTTGAATTTGGGCTTAGAATAAATTTAAAGCTCTTTCTTTTCATTACAGTAGCATGTTTAAGGGTAAGTTTGCATTCATCTGGATGTGTAAAACAAATTAAAGTGAACAAAACACATTAAGTAGGTCTTTGTTCCTGCTGTTAAAATGTCTGTTTCTGTCGTTCTGCATTGTACAAATGTGAATCTTTTTTTTTTTTCCCAACGTGGTTTTGGGTTTAAAAACATACTTATATCTTAAAATCAAGCAAGCAAATCAAAGAAAACAGGAGGAAGAACGTAAATGATTAATAATTAAAGTTGTCTTGTACTTTTTCACTTTATACATTCTATAGTCTAGAAACAAACAGAACAAACTTGCAGATCCTCTTTGCTGCTGCTCTTGAGGCTGAGCTCCATGAAAGACTGCAGTGTTGGCAGCAGGGAGAGCAACCACCCAGGCCTTGACTGGGCCTACAGTCACCTGCGGTTGTCAGAAAACGTTCCTGATGAAGCCAGGAACTCACTGAGCCACTTTGTCTCTTCTCCAGGCCTGGAAGGCTCACCTCATGGGCAGAGACGGCTGTAAACAAAACTCTCGCAGAACTGCGCTATCCCAGAAAACCCAGGCAGCACAAGGTAAAGCATTCATTCACCTCCTGCTTCCAGCTGCCCTCTGAAACATGGTGTGTGTGAGCCGTCGGGCAAGTCCCTGGTTGTGGGTAAAATGTCAGGTTGTAACTTTACAACTACAGCCGTCCTCTGCAGCAAAGCAAACAAAACAGTTAAAGGTGTAATTTGAAGTGCAATAGAGAATCAACTTTTATGTTTTCCAAGAACCAACCATTTTGCACTTTTTTTAAAGCCACAGAAGCCCAAAGGTTTGTTCAGAATGTTTTACTGTTCACATTGATGCAGAGAGGAAACTGAGACGGTTATTTTCTAAACATGACGTCCCAGTGGCATTCAAACCCCAAAATGCATTACAGCAAGCTGGTCCATCTCAAAGATCCAGTCCCCCGGCACGACCAGAGTAATATAGTGTATGCTGTTCAGTGCCAGGAGGACTGTGATCAAGTTCAAGTAAACTTTATTGTCAAAATTATTCGTTTACACTTTAAACGAAATTCTGTACTCAGGGTTCCAGTTACATCCAAAAATAGCAAAATGTAAAGTATAAAAAGAAATGTTAAATAAGAATGTAAGATATACACTAAAATGCCAAACGGTACACTAAAAGATCAAAGATATACACTAAAGATGTAATCTAATGTAAAACAATACGGTGTAACGACAGCAGCCCGATCAGTCTTACATCAGAGAAACTAAACAGCCGCTGGCCTAAAGGATGAAGATCAACATCATCAGGCCTGACTCTGTGGTCTACACTCGTCTCCAGGCCAGCGGTCACGCTTTCAGGGTTGAAGATGTTCTCATCCTGGATAGAGAGGAACGATGGTTTGAGAGAAGCCATCTTTATGAAGAGATCCATTTTTCTGAACCATTTTGGCCTTGGTGTCCTCAGGTTGTTTTTGTGAGTAGCAAGTTGGTCATCTGGCCTAAAACATTTGATTAAATACACGATGATTGATAGTTTTGGACGGACGGACCCTGTTTGCATGTGCTAAAAGTCTACTGAGATTCCAACAGGAGGTTGGCTTGAAACACAGCAGTGAAGGCTACTTCTGGTTGGCAGGCCGTAGACTGAGGAAGTCTTCTGGATGAGAGATGAAACATTTCTCACTTAAAGAAACTGGTCCAGATGACATGATTTAATCTTTTATGTTGAACTCCTCCATTGTTAAACAAAGGCAGAGGCCTCCATGTTCACCTGTCACCCTCTTTCTATGCTCTTATTGCATCAGTCTCTGAATAGCAAGCGGCCATCAAGGCACTAACAATCTATTGTTAGGCTGATGGTCTTTCTTTTGCATATGAACAGCTAGCAGCAGACTGGTTGATCCACTATGAGAAAGTGCAGCTCCTCAGGCTGAAGAAGTCTTTAATATAAAAGACGAAACGTTTCAACGAAACTCGTCCAGACGGTCTGACTCAACCTTGTTAAACTCAAGTTACAGATGTTTTGATGTTACTGTATTTTCCACATGTTGAAAGTGTCTAATCTGTGAATAATATTTGAATATTTCATTGGGAAAATACTCCAAATGTAATGAATGTTGAACCATTTTTTTTTTTTAAATGCAGTGTTTATTTACTGTGCCAGTACTGTAAAGAGTAGAAACTTTTTTTTTTTTATTCTCCCAACCCTCATCTTTTCATGAGGTGAGTAATTAACTCATGCGATCGCAGCATAAACATCAAAAGACGTAATCACTGTGCAAAAACTCCCCTGACATGTAGTCGTATCATCACTCTCTGCACGTCACAGAATGTTCCTGCGGAGCGTCATCAGTCACTGAACGCTGCTGTTTTAGTGAGTAGATGGATTGTGTTCATGTGTTCATGTGTTCAGGCAGGGCTGTGGCTGAAACGAAGCTGAAACAGACGTGGTCATTCGGAGCCGGACCCAGAGCCAGGCCCACGGGCAGAGGCAGTCGAATCCCATCTCTCACGCCCTTGGCAAGGAAATATCCACCAGGGAAGCGTTGAAGCTGGTTCGTCACAACGTCCAACACCCAAAAGGAAGGACTTAACGTCCTCACACAACCCAACATTTACAAATTTAAAACGGGGACGTGCTCTAGTTTTATCAGCTCGGAGACCAACTCATCATAAAACTGACTCCAGTACTGAGGTATAGACTTACCTGTTGGGTCAGGGGCAGAAAGGTCACCTGTTTGAAGACAACTGACTCGGTCTTGTCATACATCAGGTTTCTATCGTCACACACCTGTTGGACCTGTAAACATGAGCTCCGTTTCATGAGATCTCCTTACAAAGCCTCTCGTCTCACAATGCCCACTGCCATCGAAAGCCTCTGGAAAGAGGATTTTTAGTGTTTAATGTCTGGAGTTTTGTTTCTGTTGAGTTGAGGTCACATTTTAATGTTGACGATTTCAAACGTAGGATTTGCTGATCTTCAGCTTCTGTTGTCAAAATTTCAATGTGCTTATTGCTGCAGTTCCAGTATTGCAACAGGCTCCATCTTTACAGGACAACCAGTTTGTTTTGTCAATACCCACATCTTCCAAAGTGCAGCTCTCTGTTGGAAGTCTGCCGCCTCCAAGCTGAAACAACACCGACTGCATCACCCCGACATCACCAAGGCTCGTTGTTTTCACAAGATTATTAGAGACTTACTGTTTTTTTTTTAAACTACAGACTTTGATTTTTGCTGTATTTCTTTTATTTTAAATAGAAAAAAAAAAAAGTTTCCCCTCTAGTGAATGTTCACAAGATGAAACTGTTTCCCGCTCATCATCAGTGCAAACCTGTCGCCTTATTTAGTTAGAAAACAATAAATGTAACTAAACCATGTCTGCTGTCTCGGTGTAGAGTGGGGGAGGCTCAGTTACGAGCACGAGTCTCTACTCCACGGCAACCGTCCGCAATTCTTCAGTCCAGAAGTCATTAACCGTCTGGTGAAGCTTTATTGCCCCCATCTGCTCATGTTTTCTTTTATTGCTCGTCTGTGTACAGGAGATGAAGCAGCACTTTAAAAACAAAAAGCTAAACCGCTGAATTTTTTACCACAGTATTTATTTTCCTGATTATCGCCCTCTGACAATCAGTAAAATTGAGAGACGTAACAAGAAAAGGGGATCATTTAAATGGGAATGTTGACGGAGCGAAGATGGCCGCTCCACCAGGCAACACAGCTGAACACATTCAGCATGGTTATTTATTGTTTTACTCAAACAGCTGACGACGAATGTGCCGACCTGATCTTAAAACATCTGGAACGCTCTCGGACCGTTCAGTGAGTTTACAGTCGTATCTGTTGCACTTCTTGTAGTTTCTCCTCAGATCTAATCGAAGACACTGATGCAGCCACGTGTTCACATGGTTTTCAACGTCTTTGTGTTAATTTTCTGTAGTCATGGCAACGGTGGATGTTTAATGGTGCTTTTTGTGCACTGTCAGTATTTTCTGAATAACTTTGGCATTACTTGGATTTTTTTTTTTCGCAAATGTATTTTGTATTTGATAAATAAAGTTGTATTCAAATGAACATTGACATGTCTGTAAAGTGTCAGTGATGCTGCAGTGAATGAAATGTAAACTCCAGTTAGAGCCTCTTGTTTTATTTACACCAGTCTGCAACATTAGTCTGTTTCTTTGGCCTCCGTCAGTCATACAAGCAGTTCAGACAAGATGTCGAGAATCGTGTTTTAAATGCTGTTGGTTTGTTTTGTGCTGCAAGTAAATCCAAAAATCATAAAACAGGAGGGAACACTTGGAAAAATAAGAGGTGTAAAAAAAAAAAAAAAAAAGTCTTATTCACAAACCTGAACCAAGAACTAAATCAACATTTTCAGAGGAGCAACACAATCAGAAATGGCACAAACTCCGAATGTTTGATTTTTTTTTTTTTTTTTTACAAAATAAAGCTTTAGTGGTTTTGCACATAAATGGCAAATCAAAGAGACGACAAACAAGAAGGAGTCCAAACTGTTCGGATTCCCTTTTTTATCTGAGAACGGGTGCTTCAAAACAGCACATCTGGATCAACATCTGGATGGAGAGTTTTAATTGTAAAAGTCCAGAGTTCAGCCTTCATAGGGACGCTCTCTGCGCGCACACCAGGTCCTCGTTGTGCACCACGCTCCACATCCGGAGCAGCTCGTGCGCGCTCAGCTTGTGCACCACGATGAGGCTTCTATAGAAGCACGGCTCCGTGTTCATGCGGCTCACCTTGTGCCTGGTGATCCCGAAAGTCCTGAAGCCCGCGTGCATCTCGGGCGCCACGCTGAGCTTCTTCAGGCACATCCCCAGGAACACGTCGTCGATGGGGTACAGCTCCACGTCCTCCGAGGCCGCGAGCAGCCTCCTGGCCAGCTGGGAGGACATGAGGAAGCCCCCACCCCCCACATAGGCTGGGTACGGCTCGTCGTACAGCTCCTTGGGGATGTAGTACTTGCTCTGCCGGTTGCGGATGGGGATGGCCTTGGTGATGGTGTCCCCCACGAACAGGTCGGCCTCTGCGCGCTCCTCCACCTTGAAGCGGATGAGCTCCAGCAGGTTGCGCGTGTTCACGAACACGTCGTCGTCTCCTTTGAATATGAACTGCACCCCGGGGCAGAAGATCCCGAACCACTTGAGGAAGTTGACCTCCTTCAGGGTCAGGTTGAAAAACGTGTCCATGAAGTCCCACTGCAGGATGTCCTTGTAGATCACGTCCTCGTACTCGATCAGCTTCTGGAGGTTCTTGGTGTCGCTCGTGGGGGTTCCGAGCAGGAACAAAGTTCTTATGTTCTTTCCGTCCACGGTGAGCTCCTTGCCCCAGGTTTGACGCACAGCCTCGCGCCGGTCGTGCTGCTCGATGACGGACTTGATCACCACGAGCAGGTGCACGTCTCCGTCCGCGCACTTCTCCGGGTGGTTGATGAGCATGGGGAAGTACCTGCAGTGTCTGTGCAGGACGAACTGGTGGAACCGCGGGTCCAAGCGTCGGAACCAATCCTGGCCCTTCACCGACGCGTTCTCGCTGCAGTTGAGCACCTGCGCGTGCCAGACGCCCGGGGCCTCTCCGGTCACGAGCGGCGCGTCCTGCTCGCTGCTCGGCGTGTCCGCGCTCCAGAAGCTCGTCTTCACCACCCTCTTCTTGTACGAAAGGCACTCCGAGCCGCACCAGCCCGCGTCCCTCGCGTGCGCGATCCCCGTCGCGTACTTCTCTGACAGCTTCAGCTTCTGGATCATGAGGAAAGATGCGAAGACCAGAGACAGGCTCAGCAGGGACTTGAGCAGACCGCCCCGCTTTCTCCGGAAAAAGTGCTCCATGGCTGTCACCGTGGCGCGCGGACACCCGCGGGTTCTGGACGCTTCATGGTGTTTCAGGACTGAAGTGGCCGTCCCTCCCCACGAGGACAGGTGTGGAGTCGTCGCTCCTTGGGGCCACTTTAACCCATGACCGCGCACACAGCTGCTCTTTGCGAGGAAAAGGACCCGTCGTCCCCACCGGCCTGTTCCATGCAAGACCTCCTCCCCTCTTTTTTCCCGGTCTCCTCACAGACTGGAGACCTGTTGCCACAAAACACCTCCTTACATCCCCAAAGAGCCCCTCCTCCTGGTGATTCACACTGATACAGGACCAGCCTGCTCTCCCATTAAAATAAATAAAAAAATCCCACCCAACTCATCAGGTGTTTTGGTCTTTCTGTTATTTCTGTTTCTTGCAGTGAGAATCATTAAAAGTTGGTCACAGCAGATTTATCATGTTGAGATCACTGATGGCCGCATGTTTGGAGGTATTGTTCCACTATAGAATGAGTTTAATTCTTATCTGATTCCCTCCTGACTGTAATCTGAGATTAGAATTTCAATTTTAGGGTATCTGAATGGACAGTTCATTTGGCCTGTGGGGCCTGAATGGATGAGGTTCAATTGTGTGTTTGACTGTGATGACACGTTTTCTGTGTTAAATTGTGTTTGTCTTTTAATCGTTCTACGTCGTGAAGTGTTTTCTTGTTGCTGTGCAGTTTTTTTTGTGCGTGAAACATTTTTGATTTTATTTTAGTTTGGATATTTGCCATTTTCTCAAAAAATATAAATAAGAAAAAGTTTATTGATTCTTGCATTTCTGAGTTTGTAAAGTTCTTTTTTTTCCCACCATGTTTAGTTTCTGAAGTATGTTTTATGCTCTTTATAACTTTTTTCGTTTGTTGTTGTTTAATGTTTTTTCCCCATATATATAAATAGAGATATATATATATATATATATA